CACCGCCGCCCCTCCGCGCAGGACAAGCGAGCGCGGCCGCCCGCCAAGGACAGAACGCCCGGCAGCCACGTAAGTCCCCGCCGAAAGGCGCGCCTCGGAAAGGGACGTGGCGGACCGAGGCAGGATGCTTCGCCTTTAAACGGGGCTATTTATAAAGCCGCTATTCAGCGCGCGCGGCGGGTCAGAAGCGCCCCGGAGCGGGGAAGCGAGAAGCGCTTCTGCTCCGCCGCGACGGGGTCCCGGGCGCTCCGCCCTTTTATTCGCCTAGGCACGCACACACCTTGGCCCCAGGTGTCTCCAAGTGCCCCCCCCCCCCGGTTGTATTTGATTTGGGCGGCTGGTGTCTCCGTGGGTTGGCCTTACCGTGGCTTTCACCGTCTCACGAGTTTAGCTGCACGACGCGGGATCATCCTGGACCGGGCAAAAGTTCTACAGTATATCGGTTCAGAAAAGGGAATCTGTCATCTCCCCCGTGCTTTCCCTCTGCAGTCTCTCTATGGGGAGACGATATGGAGAGAGAAAATCCCGATTAAAGGCTATCCCCCCGGTGATCTTCTGGCCCCCCACCGCTTCAGTGTATTTTGTTTCTGTAAGACATTTCCTCACCTTCCCTTCTAAAACTTCAGCGGTTTGCTCCAGTTATGTCAGGATGACAGAGCTGGTTTATTTTTTAAGCCTAACTTTTTAGAAATCTGAATAAAACCAGGCAACTATAACTCAAAGCTTCCTGTTGGCAGTTTGCATAGAAATGATGTGTTTCTTATAATGCTGCTTAATGGTAGGCAATGTGCCGCCACTCAAAAATTTAGAAAAGGAAAGGGGGATGAACTGAGTTTGTTTAATCTCTAGCCAAGCAATCTGATAACCTAGGTTTTAGGAGTCTGGGGCTGGAAAAGTTTTTAAAAAATGCAAGAGTGCCCAAATATCAGGTTCTGTGGGAGAGTCGCTCTCTTGCATAGTCCAGTGTATGGTGTGGACATGAGTAGGGAGAGTAGAGGGGCTTGAGGGGCTTGCAAGATAAACCTGCCCTGGGTTTATTGTTTGGGTAAGTGGTGCATTGGTGGCCTTCCATTGAACAGCCGACTCTCAGTTGTGCATTAGAATAGCCACCAGCTTTGATTTTGCACCAGTCTCCCACAGAATTGCAAATTCCTGGCTTTGAAAGGGTTCTTTGAGATCATCTAATTCTGCAGTGCAAGAATTAGCTACAGCATCCCAGATAGCTAGTGGCCCAACTGTGATCCAAAAGAAGAGGTCTCACCCTGGTGAGGAACATGATGCTCCGACCACACGCTGCTGGTGTGCGCATGCTGTACTTAAATATTTCAGTGAAGAGAACCAGCTGAGAAGCCCATGTTGAGCACATTTCACCATCACTCATTTTCTAGTTGCAATGGCCTGTGGGAAAAGACGTCCCAAATCTGAACATTACTTCTTGCCCCCCAAGGGTTTTTCAGATTCATGATATGTCTAGGAAATAGTCTTTTAAAAAGGTGTTTAAACTTGTCTTTTGGACAATAAAGTAGCTCAGTGTGGGCCTGAAAATACTTTCAGTGTGGTTTTAGTCCACCAGTAGAAGGAGTGCAGAACATTCTGCCAAGAAATTCTGCTTCCTGAGGCACAGAACACGGTGGTCCTCCTCCTAACTAAGCTCCATGTACAGCGGCTGACTAGGGTGCCATTCGGTTGAACCTCAGTGCTAGTGGTGTCCTCCATCTTATTTAAGGACAGCAAGTGAACTTAAGGAGTGCAGGACAGGGAATGGGCTATATTGCAGGTGTGTCCTCCAAACAAGATGAAGAACTGGGTGGCTCAGCTAGAACGACTGTGAGGGCTGCTGTTGTTGTTCCTTGGCATTTATCTTCTAAAGTGGTTAGGTCTTCCTCATAGTAGGGACAAAGAATAACTGGGTGGCTCAGCTAGAATGACTGTGAGGGCTGCTGCTGTTGTTCCTTGGCATTTGTCTTCTAAAGTGGTTGTTTAGGTCTTCCTCATAGTAGGGACAAAGAAAGGAGGGCTTGGCGTGCTCTGGTCCATGGGGTCACGAAGTCAGAACCGACTAAACGACTGAACAAACAACAACAACAACAACATAGTAGGGACAGACCCTGCTTACAAGAAAGTTATTCTAGTGTTCAAATGACAGAGGGACTAGAGGCAGCCTGCATCCTCAGCTTGTGTAGTAACCCCCTTAACTAACTTCTAGAAGCCTAAAAAGGGATACCACGGCTTGGCTTAAATTTGAAGTAGCTGGGCTTCTGAATTTCATCAGGCATCCCCTACTTTTCCTTCTGAACTGGTAATTTCTGTATGATTGATGCCTTCTTGACTGTGTTTATCATGAAATTTTTGTTGTGAATTGAAAGTACTTCCTGAGGCTCGGAATGGACAAAACAGATAAAAAACTTGAAGGGGAACAGAAGTAGAATCAAAGTAGTGCGAAAGTAGAGAAGGCTATTTAAGGTACAGTGCAAAATTTCCTAAACATTGATCAAGAATAATTTGAATACTATTTGATTTCATGTCTTAGAGGCAGAATGGTGACTGGGTAACCTTAGTCTAGACGGTTCTTTCTGGCCTCATATTTTTGACATTCAGAGAACTGATACAGTGGCTGAAAGTGTTATCTGAAAAGGGCCTTGTTCAGATCTCATCTTGGTGACACTTACTAGGTAGGGCTTGGAAAACCACTATTCTCTTGACTTCTTTGTCAACATTATGGGAATAATGGTGTGGCCTGTCTTGCCACGTGTGCTATATACCATCATGTTGGAACCAACCTACAGTGACCCTAGTAGGACTTTCAGATAAGTAAGATATTTAAGGGGTGATTGATAGCTCAGTGGCTCCAAAGCCAGAGATTGGAGGTTCGATTCCCCACTGTGTATTCCAGCTTTGTGGCCTTTGGCAAGTTGCACAGTCTCAGGATGCCTGCAAAGAAAGGGCATGGTAAACCACTTCGGAGTTCTCCCTACCTAGAAACCCCTGCCCCCCCCAATGGTCACCATAAATCAGAATTGACTTGATGGCGCAGTTATTATTTACTAGTTCCACCTGCCAGTGAGTTTCCATGATTTGGTGAGTATTTGAACGCTGGCATCTTGAGTCCCAGGCTGTCACTCTGTCCACTAGAGTATCTTTCTTGTTTCCTTATGTTGCTGTAAGGATTGCTAAAATACCCTTTGGATACTTAAAGGCACTCCATAACTGTTGTGTTCATCCTGTAATGGTGTCTGGGGAGACAAGTTTCATTCCAACATGTTTGAAGGCTTGGAACATGTGATGGGTACATTTGCATCTCATAAAATCTTCTCAAGGTCTGTAAAGCTAGGTGTGCCATCATAAATGCAGCAGGACATGCTGAACCCTTTACTAAGATTGTTTTATCCATTTCTGAACATTAAGCATGGCTTATGGAAAAATCTTTGAAAATGCTGTCTGTAGAGTGGCTGGTTATCCAGGAAGCTAAGCACTGATCTGCTATTTGCTCTACTCTATGCATTAAAAACCTCCACTTTTTCCAGCTTTAATTTTTAATTGGGCAAGGGAATGACATATGTTTCCTAGCTCTGGAAACTGTTGCAGCATAGATCAAGTATCAGAACCTTCTGGTACAGATGTGAGCTGAGCAGAGCCACAAAGATCTCAGATACTTGGGCATTTCACAGCCCCATGAGGCTGTTCTGTTGGGATGCACAAGATGGATCCCCTGCCCCCATTTGTAGATTTGTTTCAGAGTCTGAAAAAGTTTTTGGTTTCAGTTCCTTGTCGTTTTGCAGCACAGTCTCGCCACTTGACTGTGAGGCTCTAGCTGTTACTATGGCTGTAGGCTGTTTGCCATGCTCTCTGTCCCTGAGAAGGGGGCGGGGAGGCCCACAGGAGGGAGGGAAGGCTGAATAGAGAGGCTGGCTGCAGCAAGCAGTAGGGCATGCCTATAGGAGAGTATTTATAGAGCTTGGCTTATTGATGCATTTTTTGTCACTCTGGGGAGCACATTGCATTCCCTGGTAGTGGGCAGTTCGCCCCCCACTGCCAGCTAATGTCTTTTATCCACTCACCCAAGAGGAAAGGTGTGCCAGACCTGCATGACCAGGGTGAGCAGTGAGCAAGGCAGAGGAATGATACAAAGGCACAACTCTGGCTCCCTTACTGTCAGAAGCAACACATACAGATGAAAGCTTGCAGCCTTTGCTTCTGCATCCTTATGTGCTAGAAGCTTACACTGGGGGGGGGAAAACATCCCAGCCCTCCATATAATGCAGCACCAAGGGAGGAATGGAGATGATAATATTCTGGCAGATTCAAACATAAGGTCAAATGAGGTTTTCATTCTGAACAAAAATGTAGCATTTGAGCTGTTGTGAAGCCATCCTACAAACTACTTGTTCTTTCTCTCTCTGTGTGTGCATGTGTGAAAGTACAAGGACACATAGGTGTCATGTATGTGAATTTTTACAAGGGTTAGGGTAACTCTCCCTTCTCTGCTAAACCTGGGGAAAAGAAGTGCTGTCAGTGGTTAAAACGCTGTACTGCAGCTAAAACTGTGCTCACCACCTGGGGTTCAAATCCCAGGTAGCCGGCTCAAGGTTGACTCAGCCTTCCATCCTTCCGAGGTCGGTAAAATGAGTACCCAGCTCGCTGGGGAGGGGGGGCAATGTGTAGCCTGTATAATGAAATTGTATAAGTGTCATGTATGTGAATTTTAACAAAGGTTAGGGTCACTCTCCCTTCTCTGCTAAACCTGGGGAAAAGGAGTGCTTACAGTATATCCCACTGGTAAGTTAAAATGACTAAAATATATGGCCTAGCATGTCATTGCATCCTGGTCTTTAAACCAGGGGCTAGGGTTATATCCCTATTTCTGATAAGATTCCCATTGTGGTGGCCCATCGTCCAAGTGGAGTGGGATGGTTTCATGTGACTTTAAAATTGTCACAAGTTGCTGGTAGTCCCAGTGCCTTTGTCAAATGCGTCATAGGCTCTGGAAACTGTTGCAGCATAGATTTAATGGGTACATTTTTACTGATTTGCAGAGATGTAATGATAACCTGTTGAATCATGACTAACTT